GCTTTTGAACCACAAACCTCCCAGTTTCTCGAGCAGCTGGGATTACAGGTGGAAACCACAAGACCTAGTCCAGGATTACTCTTTTATATCATATCCTTACCTTAACCATAAACAACCTATGACTTGCTACCATTGCAAAGGTGATGGGATACCATTCCCATTATAGATTAGGTGAGTCACTGACTCTTAGGAATTAGGTGTGTAACTCAAGTGACATGGTATTTGACCACAGAACCTGCAGGAGAGCAGGACATGTCTAGAGGGGAAAGGAGAGGGAAATTACATTAACAGAACCCCCACAGAGCCATTAGATACTTGTTGTTGGCCAATTTGAGAACAAATTATCAAACAAGATAGGACCTGGTAAGACAGTCATGAATGGGCTGGTCCAAATCTCATATACTACTAAAGCTGACCCACCAAGGTCCCCTCCCTGGAGGGGAGGGGTCAAACTAAAGAAAAACCACTGGGGATAGAATCAAAATGAAGCAGGTTAGGGAAAATAAAGTAAGGAGATGGCTCAGACTACACTAGAGGAGAAAGGAGAAAGAAGAGAAAGAGGTCTCAAAAGGCAAGCACTGAGGCTGCTACTCCTTGCTGGAGGCTCAGAGTCTTTGGCTTTTTCATGAGTGCATAATTTTCCCAGGCCTCTTTGGAGACTTATTCTCAGCTCTTCCACATAGCTGCCAATGGACGCCTCAGAGGGACTTTAACAAACCCTAACCCCGGAGTCTTCTGAAGTGTCTGACAAAGACAGCACCTCAAGTGATTTAGAAGACTCTCCGCCCCCTCCAGTTTCCTTGGGGTCCATGACTTCTTGAGTCCAAATGTGGAAATCGAGCTCCCTACTCCCCACTCTGCCAGCAGGGCCAAGGAGCAGCAGCTGTAGGACACCTGTGTGCTCCTCCATCCCTCAGCAGAGGACCTGGGCTAGGGCCTGGGGATGAGGCCCAGACAGCAGCCTTGACCACAGTAAATAAAAGCAATTCAGATGTACCTCCACCTATTGTTTGAGGAATGATTGGGACCAAGATCCTTTCAAGATTAGGGTCTGATTACAGCAGAGAGTCTTATAAGAAATCAGTCTCATGGTGTTGATTGAATACAGCCTATGAACAAAAAGCTCCTGAATGCTATAATACAGTGATTCTAGAGGACAGGAATTTTGAATAGCTAATGTATCATGTGATCAGTGATTTTCTTAATTTGATCCTATGCATCTCTTCGTACCTCAATGGCAGTCATTTGTTTGCTAAAAAGTCTGTGATAGGAAATAGGTATTTGCATACACTTAATCAGTATTGGGTCATTTAGGTATTGGGTAAAAATTAGATGCTTCACTGTGTTCTGATTTTCAAATATTTGATTTGTAATAGAAGATTTTGGTGTCAAGTGGAATTGTCAGTAGCAAATAAATGGGCATATAAAGACAAAAAGCAAGCACTAGAGTCATTAACAGACACATAGAAAAAAACATTAAATTTTATGAAGTTATAAAAGCTTTCCTCAAGGTGTGGGAATGAGGCTTTGTGGTATAGTGCTTGCCTAGCATGCATAAAGCCCTGGGTTTGATTCCTCAGTACTACATACACAGAAAACGCTGGAAGTGGCACTGTGGCTCAAGTGGTAGAGCACTAGCCTTGAGCACAAGAAGCTCAGGGACTGTGCCCAGGCATTCAGTTCTAGCCCCAGGAGGAGAAGGAGGAAGAGGAGGAAGAGGGGAAGGAGGAGGAGGAGGAGGAGGAGGGAAGAAGAGGAGGAGGAGGGGGAGGGGAAGAGGGGAGAAGGAGGAGGAAGGGGGAGGGGAGAGAGAGAAAGAAATGAAAGAGAGAAGAAGGAAGGAAGGAAGGCAGGAAGGAGGAATGGAAGAAGGCAGGAAGGGAGGAAGGGAGGAAGAAAGAAAGAAGGAAAGCTTTTCTCAGCTTTGTCTCATTCTCAAGTTAGGTCATTTTAATTGCCCACAAAAATAAGAAAAAGAAAAGCACTGTGGTCAAAAGTTAGAGTTAATATGAGAAAAAAAGAGTAAAGAAAGGAATAGTATGAATGAAAAGTACTGTAGAAAGACATACTCACAAAACACATGAAAACTGTAACTATTTCAAAATGACTAAAAGACTTTATGATCTTAAGCCATAAAAATATGAATCAGAATTATTAATGATTAAAAAGTAGGTGCCAGGCCGGGCGCCAGTGGCTCATGCCTGTAATCCTAGCTACTCAAAGAGGCTGAGATTTGAGGTTCAAAGCCAGCCCAGGCAGAAAAGTCCATGAAACTCTTATCGCCAATAAACCACCAGAAAACCGGAAGTGGAGCTGTAGCTCAAGTGGTAGAGCACAGGCCTTGAGCTGAAGAGCTGAGGGACAGCACTCAGGTCCAGAGTTCAAGCCCTACAACCGAAAAAAAAAAAAATAGTAGGTGCCAGTATTCCTAAAAAATGAGGAGTAAGGGCTGGGAATGTGGCTTAGTGGTATAGTGCTTGCCTAGCACGCTTGAAGCACTGGGTTCAATTCTTCAGTACCACATACACAAAAAAAGCCAGAAGTGGAGCTGTGGCTCAAGTGGTAGAGTGCTAGCCTTGAGCCAAAGAAACTCAGGGACAGCGCCCAGGCCCTCAGTTCAAGCCCCAGGACTGGCAAAAAAAAAAAAGGGGGGAGTAATAGGAAACATCATTTGACTAATGAAGTTTACAACACAGAAAACAAGTAAGTAAAGCCTTTCAACAGATTGAAATGTCCAGAATAGGCAAATTCAGACAAACAAGGCTCATGGTTACCAGAGATTCAAGAACAAGAGGGCACTGCATCTGATAACAGGTTCTTTTATGGATAATGAAAATATTCAGGAGTTAGTGGTGATTTTTGTAACACATAATGAATATACTAAAACCACTGAATTATACACTTCAAAATAACCCACAAAAAGCAGGGCAAGAGGTGTGGTAGAATGCCAGTGAAACATGTGAGCAAATGTGAAGCCCTGGGGCTGGGAAGGTGGCTCAGTGGTAGAGCGCTTGCCTTGCATGCATGAGGCCCTGGG